GCTCCACAGAGGCAGAAGACGACACAAAAGAACGAGAGAAAAGACGACAAAGACGACACAAAGTGACCACAAAGACAGAAAAATGAGGCAAAATAAACGGTTCCGTATGAAAACATAGAAGTGATGCCGTCTAAATGTAACACTTTGTGACTGTAATTATAATTATATGTTTAACGGCCGTAGTTGGACTTTTTTAATTTTACAGAGTTTCATGTAAAGCGACATGGAAAAACTCTTTTAATACTTGATACAAGCTTAAGGTACGTTTTTTATTCTAATCACAACCAAAAGTATTTGATAAAAAACAGTAGTTTTACATTTTTAAAGGTGATTTCTAGGGTTCTGGAGTCCAGAGGGTAAAGGTTCTGTTCTGAATAATGTCCATCCGTCACAGCTGGAGTCGTGTCTCGTTTCACAGCTGGTCTCAGTCACATTTGGACTCTGGATTCCAGTTTATTCCAGTCTGGTGTGTGTCTCGTTAGTGTGTCTGTGGGTCTCACAAAACAACGTCAGCAGATCACTGGTGCAGTTAGAAGCACAGTGCTTCCCTTCAGCCCATCTCACTGATCAGTTATCCCATAGAAACAATCAATCACAGATACTGTATCAATCACAGATAATGTATCAAACAACAAGTTCAGGTACTGCAGTAAAGCATCAGGTAGAAAGTATCCAGTACTGTGTAACTGGGTATTTAGTGCAGTGACCCAGAGGCTCCAGCAGGAGGCGACACACACTGACTCTTCATCCTCTTCCTCACCTCGCCCCCCCTCCCTCCCTCCCTCCCTCCCTCCCTCCTCCAGCCCACAGCCTGTGTTCTCCCCCCCCACCTCCTCCCCCTCCAGCTCCTCCTCTCTCCCCTCAGCAGGAGGTGAGTGTTTTCCACCTGGAGACCTACCTGAAGGAGCCGAGGCGTCCGGAGACCAGGAGGCTGCGCTCCTTCTCTTCTCCCCCCATCTCCCCCTCCTTCCCCTCCTCCTGCCGCCAGACGCCTCCCCTGGCCCCGCCCCTTCCTGCATCTCCTCCTATCAGGAGGCTGGTGAGTGTCACTATCCACCCCATGCACACCTATGATGTTCATGCTCAGGTGGTGTCCAGGGTTCTGCTCCAGCATGCGGTGCCGTCAGGTCCAGGTTCCTCCATCAGGGCAGCACAGAGTGAAACTGCAGCGATCAGGAAATCATTTTAATTCCAAAGTGTGACAAACAAACCTGTAAATTCTCAGCATCAGTGCTTGAGCGACAGCAGGATGTGGGTCCTTCCAGCTGTGGCCCTCTGTGCTGCCGCTCTGTTCGCCACTGATGCATCCACAGCCACACTGGTGCTGTTTCCCAGCAGCAGCGTCAAGGTGACATCACCTACACGGGCTGGAAGTTGTCCTTTCACAGTAAAATACAGCAACCTGTGAGATGTTTCAGTGTGGAGCTCCTTTTCTTTCACTCCCTGATGGTGATGTACGTTAGGAAACCATTCTTCAGACGGTTCTTTCACAGGCAATCAAAAGTCATTTTGAGTTTTTTGTTTTTTTAATTAATTTGACGGAGCTTTAAAGAACCAGAGAGCCTTGTGAGACACCATTGTTCTTCTGGAAAATAGTTCTTTCTAAGTCATTTAGGACAATTTGTGACATTTCTGACAAAGTGGGATTAATTGGGGACAACCTCTGGGTCATTTTGGACAAGCTGTGACACATTTAGGACAACATTTGAGTCCTTTTAGACATACTTCTATGATCTAAGAACATTTTTCTTCTACAATTTCGAATTATTTACAACTAACTTTGGTGATTTAGGTCAAACTTTGTCATTTTTACCAGTTTAGTCACAATTTTAAAGGTCATTCTAGTCAAACTAGAGAAGGACTGCATGCTGACAGCTGATCTGGGTTTCTGTCAGCTGTGACGCTTCACCAGGTGAGGACACACCTGGTGAAGCGTGTGCAATGACATAGAAGCTGCAGTTTCTTCACAAAAACATCGTTTGATTATGAACAATTTTGGACGTGGCCTTTTTAATTAAAATGTATGATTGCGCTCCAACAGTTTGCGCAGGTTGAGCTGCGTGCTTTTATTGTGGAGGTTTCCCTCGCTGCATCCTGTTAGCTCCGTTAGCTTGTTAGCTGCTTCATCCGGACACCGAGCGGCGGCGACTCCTACCGACAGGAGACGACCGCGCACCGGCACAGCAGGTCCTCCAGGCGGACGGAGACACAAGATGGAGCCGTGACGGATGCGTTGGCTCCCGGATAGAGACCGTGATTCAGCGGAGACACTCGGAGGGACAACGACGGTTCATGAACGGCGACTGTCCGGTAGGTGCTAGCTGAGCGGGCAGGATGTAGCCGCCGGAGCCGCTTCACAAAACAGCGCTTTTAGCACGAAAACCGCCCCCGTTTCACGAGTCCGACACCGGGGACGATGACGCTCCGCCGCGTCCGCGGTGACCGATGGATGTGGCGATCGGCGGCCGCCACATCACCGTGCTGCGCGGTCAGCGGGGCTGCGGTGAGCCGGTGCTGCTCGTGTTCAGCTGCCTCCGGTAACGCGGTTCGTTCACGGCTCGGAGGTCTGCAGGCCGCGAGCATCCAGCGACTCCGTCCGTTAGTCCTCTGACCGATTCCGTTCCTCTGTGCGGCAGCTCCGGGGCTGAAGAGCCAGCGATTGATCATCAGCGATGAGAGGAGCAGTCAGCTGTTCTGCACTTATCGATCACTGATCACTGATCACAACCACCAACATGTCTTCACATGACCCAACATGTCCAGAACGCGTCTAACAGACTCAAAACTTGCCCAAAATGTTTGGAAACTGTCAAAGTTAATATGAAAAAATGTTCAACATGGGGCTGCAGTGGTTAGCACTGT